TTATTCAATCGTCGACGCCTTTCAACGTTGGCTACATTTTGTTCGTGACCTATTTAATTTCTGCTCGTACTTATTTTTTGATTGATTCGTGATCCGATTCATACTTCGATTTCATCTGTTTCGTGATATTGTTGTGCTGTTTTTTGGGTTATAAGGTAGAAAACAAAGGGTAACCTTTGTGGTGTTGGGATTCTATTTTTAGTCGGTTGCATATTTCGTGTCACGTTACCTTTCGGGAAATACTACTTTTTCTTCATTGTCTATATTTCACATTCCGTTTGATTCGTCGTCCCTTTTCTTCATTACTTTGGGTCTTTTTTCAGATACTTCTACTGGCTCACAGCTCATTGACACGCCTGTCATGCCTCCTTCTTCTAAAGTTCTTTCACCTGTGCATCCTGGACCGACGGTTTCTATTGAGTCTATTTTTTATTTTGTCCCTTCACCTACCATTGATCATTGACGGTCAACTCGTGTAACTCGTTCACCTTCTCACCTACTTGACTATCATTGTTACTCGGTCATATTATCTGATCATGAGCCTATATTTTTTCATGAAGCGAGTGCTGATCCATTGTGACAACAAGCTATGACTGAGAAATTACAGGCGTTGTAAAAGACTCATACTTGGGATTTGGTGGATCTACCAATTGGCAAGACACCCATGGGATGGAAATGAGTTTATAAAATTAAGACAAATTTGAATGGATCTATTGAGCGCTACAAAGCTCGTCTAGTTGCTAAGAGTTACTCACAGAAGTATGACATGGATTATGAAGAGACTTTCACACCGGTAACTCGTCTTACTACTGTCCAGTGTTTACTTGCAGTTGTTGTTGTTCGTCGATGGTCTCTTCTACAATTAGATGTCAGTAATGCCTTCTTACATGATGTCTTATCTGAGGATATTTACATGACTCTTCCTGAGGGGTCCTTGTCATCTTGGAAGGTTTGTCATCTACATCGAGATTTGTATGATTTGAAACAAGCGCCTCGTTCTTGGTATGCAACATTCAGTTCCGCTTTGTTTCTGTTTAGTTTCACTACGAGTGATCACAATTTTGCTTTGTTTCTTCAGCGCTCCTCATCTAGGATCATTATTCTGATGCTCTATGTTGACGATATGATCATCACAAGAGATTATGTTATCAGTATTTCCAATTTACAGAGTTATCTTCATCAGCATTTTGAGATGAAGAGTCTGGGTCAGCTTCGCTATGGGTCTTGAGATCTTTTATTCTCCTTATGGTTTCTATTTTTCTCGAGCCAAGTATGCCTCTGATCTTCTATCTCGTGCCGGTGTCACTGACTATCAGATAGCTTCTATACCTCTAGATTATGATGTTCGTTTTACTCCACTTGATAGCTCTTTTCTTGATGATCCGACATTATATAGTCAGCTCGTTGAAGGTTTAATCAATTTGGTTGTCACTCGGCCTGATATAGCTCATGTTGCTCAAATCATGAGTCAGTTTATGGTTGATCCGACAACCACTCATCATTCTACTATGTTGTACATTCTTTGGTATGTGAAGGGCACTCTATTGTACTGTTTACACTTCTTGCCCGATTCTTCCTTGACACTTAGCGACTATTTTGATTCAGATTAGGCTAGAGATCGTTGTTTCATTATTGGTTAATGCTTCTTTCTGGGTTATTCACTCGTCTCCTAACGCAATAAGAAGCAGACATTAGTTTTCCGATTCAGTGTTGAGTCTCAGTATCGTTCTCTTGTTGATTCCATCTCAGAGCTACTATGGCTGCGTCGGCTACTTGTTGATCTCGGTGCACCTCAGTCATCGTTTACTACTCTACATTATGATAATAAGAGTGCTATCAAGATATCTCATAATGATGCGCACCAAGCATATTGTGATTGACTGTCACTTCATCGACAACATGTTACCCATGGGACTGTGCAACTTGTTTCAGTTACCTCTAGGATCAAACAATAGATGTATTCACAAAGTTTCTCCTTTTCAATCACTTTTGTTTACTTCTTAGCGAACTCAAGATCATTTCTACTATACCACTTTGGTTAAAGTTGGAGGGTGTTATTTATGTAGTTATTGTACTGTGTATTATCTTAGCGCCAGCGGTGGTAATCGAAGGTAAATTGGAGGTTAATCAAATATATTTAAATACTAGTTGACATATCAAACTCGAACTTTAACAGTATCATGCTCTCTCTCTTTCTTTAGATTTTTTCTCTCCATTCTCTCTAGTTTCCTCTCCTATCTTTTTTACCTTTTTTCTCTTTCCTTTTTATTTTTCGGTCATCATTTCTCAAGGCCGTTCAACCCCCTACTGGCCGCCACTAGCGGCGACTAGCCTCCGCCTTGCCTCTTTTCCTTTATCTGGTTTTTTGTTTTTTTAGTTTTTTTATCTTTTTTTTTATTATTTTTTTTTTTAAGTTTCAGTCCCTCATATGTCTTTTACGGCAGCTTCCATCATGTATCTAACGACAACTACCCTTTATCCGACTATATCGTCTCTGTACCCAGTAAGGTAAGAGCTTCAGCCCTTGGTCTCGTCAAACGCGGCTCTTTCAAGCTCGGCCTTGTCTTTCGCCGGCCACATCCTCTCAAATTTCCAGACCTCAGAAGATAGAAAAAAAAAAAATGGAGAAAAATCAGCCTCAGGCTTGTCGGGTGTCGGTTTCTCTATGGCAACGGATGCCGAAATGGTCTCTCACGCCGTCACCGAGCTTCCAACCACAGCCTCGACGACATCCAGCACTGGGAAAGTAGCGCACGTAGAGCCTGTCACTCGCTCGCCTGCCATTCATACCGTCGGAGCCTTGGCCTCAGTCGGTTTCGGCCTGACATCTCACGCAGAGAGGATTTACCGCACGACTGTCGTTCTTTTGGCTCTCTTCCTAGAGCTCGACATCTCCCTGGTTTTTTTGCTTTCTGAAACTCACTTTGTTGATTTTACAACTTCTAATCGACCGCTAGTAATCGACGAAATCTCCACTAAGTTTTCTCCGACCATTAACAGTTACTTGTGGGAGTTGACCTGATGGTCACTGCCTCTTCTTTGACTCTGACTGATCAACACTTAAACTCCCCCAGCACCCTTTTATATGGTAGGCATGTGTTAGGGTTTGAGAGGTTAGGAGTGACATGGCTAATCCCTAACCTAGTGGTCAGAGGCCACCTGAATCGCTTTTTGGCCAGGCCCAATCCATCTCAGCAGCCCTTTAACGAGCTCACGGGCCACGCAGCATCTTTGGGCCTCCCGTCCATGGCCAGTGGATCCTCTTTGGGCCGCAGGGTCTTCGTTGGGCGCAGGTAAGTCCTGGGCACGTCCACTTTCCACCTACTTTTCTTTTGGCTCTATTGGCTCATTAAGCAAATTAGTTGGGTCCATGCTCCAGCCAACTTCTGCAACCCCAGCAGCCCATATCTCTCAACCCACTAAACCCTCAGCAGCCCAGCCCGTCCCCACTTCTCCAGCACAAACAGCCCACATAATACCATAAAGCCCACACGTCTCATCTCACATCTTCACCAACCCACCTATCCCAAACCCCATCTAACTTACCAGTCGACCATCTCTTTCATTTCAGCAATAGCCCACCGACCAGCAGCTGCCACCTCAGTCGGCCTGCCGGCAACCATCACCATCACTCCGCCGCTGGCCGACAATAAGGTCGTCGGCGCCAGCGGCCCCTAGGCTACCAGAGATCGAAATTTATCGGCCAGAATTCGTAGCAACGGGCCCTGTCTCACCAGCTGCCGACAACTCAGCCCCTCTCACTAGAGCTCCTAAGATTGGACAGCCCTTGACGGGCCCTTCTACGACCTCGAGACCATCGTGACTTCTACGTTTGTGACACCGGCCTGGGCCCCCACCGGACCCCGATTCTTTCAGGATGCGAGCATTGGCCAATCTGCCGATAAAACGGGACGTCAGGGATTCTCGCTCGAGAAGTTCCAAACTAATCATCGTGGGACTATCTCACGCTTCTAGAAGGGACGATTCAAGGTAAGTCTTCATGAGCTTGATGTTTCTTCTCTTATTGGGCCACATGACAA